TCGGAATACTATTTTTTTTTTTAAAAAAAAACTTTTTTTACTTAAACCTAAAACGCGTTCCCTTGCCCTAAATTCCCAGAAATGTTCCGCCTCTCTTTCTCCTTTTCTCCTCCTCCTCTTTCTCTCTCCTCTTCTCCTCTCCTTCGTTCTTATCTCTCCTTTCTTACTGCTCCTCTCTTTTCCTCTTCTCCTTCGGTCCTTCCCCTTCTCTTTCCTCTTGTCCTTCGGTCCTTCTCCTTCTTGTCTTCTCTTTCCTCGAGGTGAAAAATCGACCATCAACATCAACAACAACAACCCACACATGAACATCAACGGCGCAATAACGAAGGTTTTTAGGCGAAAATTCAACCATGAAAAGTCTAGATCTAGAGTTTTCATGGTCGAATTTCGCCTCATAAACCCAATATTGAGGTTTAGGAGGTGGAATAAGGTATGTATGTCTTTTTAAAAAAATTGTTGGATGTTTTTTTCGATTTTTTTTAATATTTACGGTGGTTGGGGCTGTTTTGGTGCCGCGATGGGTGGTTTAGGTGGGCGGTGGTGGGTGGTTTAGGTGGACTGTGGTGGGTGGGTCGGGTTTAGGTAGACCATGGTTGGTGGGTTTAGATCTAGGTTTAGGTGGGGCGTAGTTCGGGTTTAGATCTGGGTTTGGTGGGTTGGTAGTGTGTGGTGGGTGGCGCTGGCCACTAGGTTAGGTCTGCGTTTGTGGGGGGGGGGGGGGTGGTTTGGGCTTAGGTGGGTTTAGCCGTTTAGGGTTAGGCCATGTAAGGATAGTTAAGATCTAGGCTTAGGTGGGTTTAGGGTTGGATAGGGTAGTGAAACGCGATTGGAGGTGGTGATACGTCGTGCCGGTGGTGGCACGGCGTATTTTTTTTTTAATTTCATAAATGAATTTTCCGACGGAATTTCCCTCGAAAATCTCCGACGGAATTGCGTCCGTTGGAGATTTCCGACAGATTTTGCGGTGCCCGAAATCCTTTCCGACGAAAGAATTCCGTCGGAAAAGTGTTTCCGATGGAATTTTCGTCGGAAAAGATCCTATTTACTACGAACCCTTTTCCGACAACCTTTTCCGACGGAATTCCGTCGAAAAGGTGTTTTCCGACGGATTTTGAGGTGTTTTCGACGGAATTTTTCTGTCGAAAATGAGGTTTTTCTAGTAGTGGAATATCATGTCTTAATAGTATATTTACTTAACTTGTGATGCCTCTAATAATACAAAATATCTTCCTCCTACACTTTTGATAATTCTGAATTCAAGGTCACCCTCGCACTTTCCCATTCAAAGCGACCTCTCACACCTTGGACATCCCACCTCTTAGGCCCCCTTAAGATTGAATCACCAACCAAACTCGTCCTTACTCTTCTTAAAGGCTGTTTAGAAGCAAGAACAGGCACCGTACCACACCATTTACCAAATTTCATATTTGCTAACTTTATCATTTCCCCGAAATCGATTTTCCAAGTAAACCCACTCTAAGAAGATATTAGTTACCCTATGCAAAACCTTATTTCCCCATGAAAGATTTTTCCTCACCGTAGGAACCTTTTTCCCAGTATACAAGGGACTCAAATCATTCTTATAGAGCACTTTAGAAGCCGAAAGTTGAGGGTTGCAATGCATTCTCTGAACCTAGCTAAACAACATTGCATCATTTAAAGTACCTGCCGATATAAACCTCAACCCACCCATTCTCTTAGGGAGATGAATGTTATTGTAAACACCTTATTGTGTCTCCCAAAAAACCAAACCCAGTGACGAATATCTTTCACGTCATTTGATTATCAAGCAAGGTGAAATGTGAAAGAGTCTTGTGATTCCTCTATTTTTAATAAAAATACTTATTTTTGTTTTCAAAAATCATTCATTCGTACCCTATTTATGAAAAATGTCCAGTCCATTTTAGTTTGGTCCATGATATGGGTCCAATAATGGTGTAGTTGGATGAGGCTTGAAAATACCTTTCCAACAATACATAATTATAAGCCCAATTCCAATGAATAATGAGGAAGTTATGGTCAAACTACTTAGGCTCAAACCGAATTTTACCTACGGCCCAATGATCACAGTGGGACTCAAGTGTGGAATGCTTGAAATATTCCATACAGTTATCCTTCTTGACCCAGTGCATACCTTTTTCCCCTTTCGAGGCTTAGAAGAATCTAGGAATGATGGAGCCGATATCATTAGCAATAGAGATAGGTAGCTTAAAGCATTTCATCACATGAGAGGAGACATAAATGAGGACTATGTTGATCCAAACGAACTTTGCCAATTGCGAAAGCTTCAAAGAGCTCCAACCCATAACATTTGTAGCAACTTAATTTATCAACCAAGTATCGAAAGGTGTCAGCCCTTTTATGAGAGAAATCAATTGGGGCCCCCAAATGAATTCCTACTCCTTGTTTTCCATTCTCAAAATATTTTTTAAAAACTGTTTAGCCTGTAGAGTTGAGGCGGTGCTAAATTTATAAAGATTCAATTTACCCACTTTTCTGTAAGTCATTGTTGCCAATACTGAAACTCCATAGCACAATTCAAAATGATAATAGTAGTATTATTTACTGTTTCCCTATTACATATTCTTCCCCTTCACTAACCGTTGAAACAACCTCCCCTTGGAGTGACAAATTGCTTGTGGCGTTTCTCCAATTCACGCCCCCAAAAAGTTTTATTGTCCAGACATCATTTATGAGCTTTATGTTAAGAACAAGTTGCTAAACAAGATGGGTGATCAAATATTAAATGGTAGTTTCACATTAATTAAGAAACCAATTACATACCTAGCTGCTACATCTAGCTTGTGGGCTTCTATTACATTAAGTCTATTGACTTTTACATTTGAGTTTATTCATTATTGCAAATATATCTTATTCGTATATCTTTGGAAGAGAATTGAAGGTACCTGTTGCAAAAAACATATAAACTGGACCAAAAACTCATACTCAAGTTACCTCTAATGGAGATTGATCTTATAACCTTATAGTAGTTATATAGTTGTGGGGTACAAATGTACAATCCTAATACATTGGTATATACTTTACTGAACTTACATATTCTTACGTAATACTACGTATTGTTTAATGTATTTTAACGATTTCATCATATATGAAATCCGTCTTAGAAAAGTTGGTTTTTTCTACTCCCTCCCTTTTTAAATACTTGTTCTATTTATATTGGACACACATGCCGATGTTAATATTTGATTATTAATATCTTTAATTACCAATAAGTATAAATTCTAATAATTTAAAATTAATAATCTGTTCATTGAGATGATTTCAACAAGTACCCACAAGACTATATTTTTTTCTTACGTATAAATCACAAACATTAGTCAAACTAGGATAAATGAATAGTGCAAAAAATAGAAATAGAGCAAGTATTTAAAAACGGATAGAGTACTATTCTAGAAAGTGAATTACATGGTTGAAAAATTTAAATGTTGGGTGCTAATCCCCTTATTTGACACATTTTTTGTAAGGGCAATAGCAATTAGAGGCTTGTAAGAACAATTTAGAGGTTTGTGAACAAACCTCTTGTTGTGGGTTGAGTTTGTTGTGGAGAGGTTTTGTAGACAAACCGGTTTCTACTTGCTTAGTTGGTAAAAATTTTATGCTTTTCTCTTTTTTTCTTTACTTTTGGTTTGGATGCTTTTAATTAGTTGTATTGATAGTGGGTCCTTTACATAAACCTATAAATAGGTTTATATGAGGAAGTATAAATCAAGGGTTGTGAGACAAATGAAAATATCTCACAATCATTAAAATTAACATAAAAATATAAGGAAGAGATAGAAAGGAGGAGAGTGATAGGAAGAGTGAAAAAGGTAGTGTGGGCCCTACTAAAACTTTTCAGACATGTATCATGAGCAAAAACGGACAAAAAATTTTGGGGACCACTACCACTGAGTTTATATTTGTTCCACTAAAACTCCAGATGAACTTTTTGAAGTACCACTGAGACTATATTTTGTACCACCGAGAGTATTTTGTACCACTGAAACTCCAGTGATATCATTTGGTTGCTCAATGAGACAACTTTAAATTGACACCTGAAATGTCTATATTACCCTTGTGAGACATGGCTTTATTGTCTCTCAACCCTCCGTTTATATAACTTCAGGTTTATCTATTGTTGATAAAAGATTTATTAGGGAAGAGGTTTGTGTAATGATGACGTGTCAAGTGAACAAACCGATTTGTTATATTGTGGATGCCCTAAATAGTATACGACACATTATTAAAAATGAAATTAGACCATCTATTATAGTAATCAATTTGAATGACCCAGTATGGCCTACTAATTTACTCATTTCAATAAAATTTGCATCCACTCCCACTACACTCCACTTACATTATCATACCGACTTTACCTAAATAAAGTACGAGTATAAACAATTCAATAAATTAATCCACTACATTTTTCTTAAAGTTGTGTAATGAAGAATGTCTAAGATGTTGTGTAACGGATATATACCCTCAATTTTTAAATACTTACTCCATTTTTTCATGTGTGAAATTGTAGGAGAAATTGGAGAAAGTAATAAGATATGAAGGTAGTGGGGAAGGTGGAAGAATATTAAAAAAAATTACTGTATAAAAAGCAAAACTAGTGAAGAAAAATTATAAAAAGCAAAAGTAGTGAAGAGAATTGAAGGAGAGAAAATATGAAAATAATAAAATATGATATGGTTTGTTTTATGAAAAAAGTTTTAAAAATTACGGAGTAGTTATTTTCAAAAGCAGTCTATATTTGACAAAAAAATTTAGAAAAGAAACAATGGGTGATATCCAAAATTCCAAATATTTAATTAGTTAATTAACCTAAATTTTGGCAGTAGAAATTAAGAAAAATTACCATGAAATTGGTTTTGTTAAGTAGCTAATTAAATTACATTTGAAATTTTAAAAAGTCATACATACCAATCTCGCAATGATATATGAGACCAATCAATTTATAGTACAATAATAATCAGAGTTATTATGAAACTGACTTATTGTACAAGCTTTATTATTGATTAACTAACCGCGAATACATTAATTAAAGACGTAATTGTCTGTTATTATTAATCCAAAGTCACAAATACACAATACATCAAGCAACAAGGAATTGCAATGAGAGTAAGAGATAACTCAAGTGATTAGATCTCCGTTCCCCTCTTGTTTCCACATCAGGACGGAGGTCTTGGGATCGATTCTTACCACTCGCTCTTATGGCTTTCCAAATACCCAAAAAGGGAATTGCACTTAGAAATTGTAACACAATTTCCTATAAGCTCGGAAAAATATGACCAACCTCTCATGAGATGGGGCAGTGTCTTTTACCACATTGAGGCCCAAAAGTGATGCCATTCTTGAGGTAATCAAAGGATAATTTTCTGGTTCCATTATCTTCAAATTGAAGGCATCTTCCATGGTTTTGATAATGCTTGGGAAAGCGCATAATAATATGTCTAGCATCCCCATTTCTTCATTACAAGAAGGTGCATCACATGGAAATATAACCTTCATGTTTTCTTCTAGAATATTTAACTTCATTTGGACTTCACTTTTGCTATTTTCTTCTTCAATCCCTTGACTACTTGCTATAACCTTCTTCAAAGACATATCAACCTGTTGTACGTTTTACATGCATGTAATAGTTAGGTATAATATAATTAGCTCATCAAATAGCTAGCACACACATCCAATTCATAACACAAAAATAAATTCAAGTGCGCTATCTTACATTTTTACATGGTAATCTCAGATATATTTATGTTCAAAGCTAATATATGATTAGTACAAATAAAAAGTTAAAATGTGTCAATTTTTTTAATAACATAAAGTAGTATCAATACACAAGAAATTGATTCATCTTATTACCTATTAGCTTAGGAGTTATTGCCAATCAATTACAATTATCGTTTTGACAAGGAAATTTTGTGAAAAAGCACCTTTTAAATCCTTATTTTGTGATCACCTTTTAAATTAATTAATGTTGTAAAAGACCACATAATACAAATTTTTTGTCATAATTTGCCACCAATAAATGAACAAATGGCCATTAAATCGTTAATATTCGAAACTCATTTTCTTGCAGGTGATGAATTACAATATAATTAAGATTTAAATTGAGTGGTTTTTTACAACTTTTTTTTTTTTTTTTTTTTTTTTTTGACAACAAGGATTTAAAAAGTTTTTTTTTTTTTTGACAAATTTCCTTTTGATTGCTGATTATTGCCTTGAGGCTGACTACATGATGTTTGTACGAACACTTTACCATCATTATTAATACGTAATACCAATCATCCAAAAATTATGGTGGTTAGTTGCATTTTTAATTTTTTTTTTTCCTGATAGCTAAATTTAATTTACTAATAAAAGATTGTAATGTTTCATGGACCAACTGCGCATAAGTGCATAACCTTTAGAATAATGTGTATTCACGTGCATATTGATCCCAACGAACAAAAAAGATAAATTTGCAATTGAGTGGTAATGAATACATATAGAACAAAAACACATGTTATGTTTACGCCATATATCAAATAATATGAAATTATAAAGTATGTACCAGATTCAGCATAAAATCTCCCCAAAACCGCACCATAGACCTTAAATAAGGATCGGATGATGGCAAGAGATGAGGAGAATTCTTCCAAGTTTCATCGATGTATTGTAGGATCACCAATGACTCCGAAATAGGGTTTCCTTTATGAACAAGTACGGGAACTTTCTTGTGTATAGGATTGTACTGAAGTAGCGTTTGGCTCTTCTTTTTCAAGTTCTCTTCAACATATTCATAGGGTATGCCCTTGATTTTAAGGGCAATCTTCACCCATCTAGCCTAAGGGCTACCATAAAAACCATGGAGTACCACCTTCTTTTCATCTTCCATCCCTTTCTTTTCCTAGCTTCCATCAATGATACAAATTCATCAATAAAATAAATTTGTAAAGACAATAATGAAAAAGGGAATGAACATCAAATATTCAAATTTATATAGATTATTTTTGTTTTCATTAGAGATCTTGATAATCTGATATATGTGACCGCATGAATAATAGTCAACATAAAATGCCTTCAAAAAAAAAAAACAAATTGAATAAATAAATTAAAATAAAAAAATAGTCAACATAAAATGTGCAAGTATAAAAATCATATGGAATATCGATCCAAAATATGCTAGCTAGGTTTAAAGAATTGAGAAGTGATAGTAGAGAAGAATACCTTAACTAATACGGAGTAGAGGCGAAAACTCTTGAAAAATTCTAAATGAATTATGGACAACCGTACATGTTATACTATTCTTTGATCAGCAATAGTATGAAAATAATATAAACAAACATACTATAAATAGAATAATAGAGAAGTAAGAGTAGAGAAATCTACTTTACCCAGGGCCGTCTCATTCAATTTCAGGGGCCTGTGCTATTTTTGACCCGGTGATTTTAAAATGTGTAATTTTTTTTTTTTTTTACGAAAAAAAAAAACATTAGGTTTTTTTACACATAACTAAGCTTATGTAAATGTATATATTAAAAAAAAAAAAAAAAAGAGAGAGAGAGAGAGAAACCAATATATTTCCTTTTTTTTTTTTTTGAGGAAAGTATATTTCTTAATTATGTATTCTAAATTGTAAGCTTTGATTATTCTGTTTATAAAATAAGTAGCAAAACATGTGTTTTTTTAGGAAAATATATTTCTTAATTAAGTATTCTAAATTGTAAGGTTTGATTATTCTGTTTATACTACTTCTGTTACATATTATTTGCAACGATTTGACATAAAGTAGAGAGGAAAAATGTCTAATCGTTGCAAATAATCTAATACTCCTTACCTAATACTCCGTACTCTAAGAGCATATCCAATGGCAAGCTACAATGCTTTGTAGCTTGCTTTTCCACATCAATTTCTAAGCTACTCCGTACAACACTTTTTAAGCAACAAATTGTTCCAATGGTAAGCCACAACATACTGTAGTTTGCAAAATATAAAATTTTAAAAAATAATAGATAATTATACACATGTAACAATATGAGTGGAGATTATTTGTCTTTTTTTCAATCAAGCATGTAGCTTGGTTGGGCTACAGTTGCTTGCATGTTGCTTAATTTTTTATTCTCTAATGACAAGCATGTAGCTAGGAACTTTATTTAAATTGCAAGCAAGTCCTTATAATTGAACCATTGGAGATGCTCTAATAGTGGTGTAAACTCCTAAGAAAAACCTGAATGAATTATAGTCGACCTTACATATTTTACTTTACTTTGATCAATTTCATGCTTATGGTTGCTTCAAGACATCAGGGATTTTATAACTCGGTTTTCTACGTACCTGTGATCTCCGGAAGGTTCCTCGTCAATGGGTGGCTCCGACTCATTGGTTGGCGCGCAACCCAGGCTCGTCATCGTCGTTTGTTAATGTGGTCGTCCTTCTAGGTTTTTTCCTGAATTGGTTGTTTTTTCTTTCTTCTTAACCCGTCTTGTCAAAAAAAAAAAAGTATTTCTATATACCCGTTCAAAAAAAAAAAAAAAAAAAAACTAAATTCGCCATAATAATGCATGTATTTGTATGGAGACCATTTAGAGCGTATATTTTTTCTTTGCAAATAGGATGGAAATTTTTTTTTTTTTTTGAAATAACAAAATAGTTATTTGACATTTATAATAATATTTTTTATGGTTACATTTGAAGGAATTGTGTCTTCGATAAGTGCAATTACTAGATATATCAAGGATCACTATTATGGAGATAATAAGTTCGTTCTTTTGGGTCGTCATTATCTATTGCTAGACTATGATTAATGATCTTTGGGCTAGTCAAATAGTCCAAAGCCTACTAGAATGGATCCTATGAGGTCACACAACAAGGGTATTGAGTTAAGAAAGTAAGAGGCCCATTAATGGGCCTCATGAGCAACTAACTAATCATGAAATGGTTTGGGCTAGCATAGTTAGATGAGAATTAGGTTTTGGGCTTTTGACATGGGCTCTTATTTAGAGATGAGATCTATAAATAAGATCCTTGCCTAGGGTTGCTGGTAAGCAGTCATAATTCACACACAGTGAATTTTGACATCAAGGCAACCAATCCCAAAACCCTCATTCCCTCTCTAACTCATGGCTCCCTCTCCTTCCCCTTTGGACTCACGGCCGACCACCCTCGGTGGCGCATGTGGTGGTTCGTGGTGGTTCATGATGGTCCGTTGTTTGCACTTCTCCATAGAAGGTCAATTGAAGGGTTCAATTGCAACTAACTAGCATTAGTGGAGGTCTTAATCTGTGCCCGTGGACCAAGTAGAGGAATCACGCTTGAGATTCTTTATCTCCCATTGTTCTTGTTCGATCGCACGTGGAATCACGCTTCAAAGGTACGATTATATGTTCTTTATGTGTTATGCATTAGATCTTGGGATTAGGTACTGTATGAATATGATTCATGTTTATTTTCGCTGCGTAGTACCTATAATTCCCTACAGTGGTATCAGTTAGCCTATTGCATTTACGCATATTGACTATAATTCTTTGATAGTCCACAATTTTAATTCAATTAAGAGGGAGATAAATTTAATTATGGTTCAATTATTATATTTAATGTGATTAAACTTTTGAAATCGATTAAATGTGATTTAATTATGCTCAAAATAGCCATGAAGAGACCGGATTTTAGCCCTAATATGTTCGAAAATTTCGAACTCCCTAACCCTATTTTTCGAATTTTTCGAAATTCCTAGCCCTAAAATATGGTTTTTGTGCTTGATTTTGATTTAATTCGATTTATTTTATGATTCATAATTTTAATCGGATTGATTTATGCATAAAAGTGTTTTATGTATGATGATCAATTTAATTTTAAAAGTTAGAATTAAATTGGGATTAATTTTATGATGAACCCTAATTTTAAAGTTGAATGTGATTTAATTTTAATCTTATGGACTGATTTAATTTAATTTTAATAAATGTTATTTTAATTAAATTAAAAACAAAAACAAAAAAAATTATTATTATTTTGGTCGGCAACCGCGGTTGGGTGGCACAGCCACGGCGGCTGCCGACCAGGTGGTGGTCCAAGAGGGAGGGAAGGGGAGGGCGGAGGTCGGGATGGCTGTGGGCAGCAGCGTGCAAGTGTTGCACGGCTGCTGCCACGGCTGCCAGAGCAGCTGCCCGCTACTGCCTTGCGGCAGTGGCTGCTGTTATGGCAGCCAGCCACCGTGGCTAGCTTCGGCTAGCCAACCACGGTGGCCGACGGTGGTGGCTTGCGGTTTTTTTTAAAAAAAAAAACTATTTTGAAAAATTATTTCAAGATAATTATTAATTATTTTGGGATAAAATCAGTTTTATTTTGGATAAGATAAAATATTTTGAAAATATGATATTGTATTTTTAAAAGATAAAATTGGTTTTATTTGGATAAAATCTTTTATTTTAGGATAAAATCAAATATTCAAAAGTTGTTGATATTATCCATATTTAAAGTTGTTAAATTGGTAATTATCTATAATTAAAGTGGTTAATTTTGGATAAGATTTGTTAGGATATTCTGAGCATATTCCAAAAGGATAATAATTGATTTAAGTAATGTGATTATCCCATAACTAATTTTGGATAATAATTGATTTAAAATTTTGTGATTGGCTAGCAATTAGGATAGAGTTTCCTAACATTGTTAGGATAATCTTTGAAGATAAATATGATTTATCTTTTAAGATTAAAATAAGATTTGATTCTATCTCATGACTAATTTAGAATATATGATATTTTATTGATGGTCATGAATAATATATGATATTATCTAATTACATTAATTAAAATATGAGATATTTTGGTGCCATGTTTCCTTAATTATGAACATTCGATGTTGTAGTTTAGGAAAGCATGATGAGTGATTTATTATGTGGCAATTTTATAATATATGATGTTATTTATTGCTATATAATGACTAGTATGGCCCAGTAGATTACTAAATACGATCTGCGCATCGTGATGTATTTTTGTAATTTTAGTAACGGTTTACGTACCGATTAAGTATTTTTGTAATTTTATTTCATTTTATTTAAGTAGTAGATAGAATAGAGTAAAATTACAGGTTGCAGTTAATCCAAGAAATCCATGGAGTGAAGGCCCAAAGGAGAAAGATGGATGAGATCCATGAAGGTTCAAGTGGGAGCATTTACTTTATTAGTTTTCTTAGGATTAGGGGCCATGCTATGTCTTGTTTATGCATTCAGTATTTTATGCATGTTAGATTTTATTGATGTTTTGTGATGATGCGCTAGAGTTCACTATTTAATCACAACATAATAAATCTAGGTCCCAGTAATATTGAAGTTGCTTTCCCAATTAAAAACCCGATGAAACCTTCGATATTTATGGCAGGTCATGCCTCAGCTGGGTGTCATACTATATCTTAGGGGAGTGGGGGTAAATCACGTTTTACATTTTTAATTGGTTATACTCAACAAGGTTACCTAAAGAGTTTAGAACCTTGAAGCTAAGGGTAATAATTAAACATGTGATGGTTATTATTCAACCAAGAGTTACAAAGAGTTGTAATCAGTAAAGAGTTTACTCACCTTGAAAATGCAATACTTGATGGTAGGGCCTCAGTCCGGTCAATTATTGCACAAATAAAGGACCTTGGAATCATTTTATTCAATAGGGATCAAATTAAAATTGAATAAATGTTTTAAAGTCGCCAATTTAATTCGCTTATGGCACTTTAAATTTTTATTAAACATAATTGAATTTTGCGTTTACTTACAAGTAACATGTCGTTCTAATTTTATATATAATCTCCTCGATTGAAAATAAAGTTGAGAAACGTTCTCAAAAGTTTAAAAGATAATCCATAAACCTATATTCCAATTTTGCTAAAATGGTTCTAAAAGGCAAGTTTTAGAAATCCATGTCACATGTCTGAGTTGGTTTTATTCAAAATGTTTGAGTAAAATGCCAACACATCTTCATTTTGAAAAGTGTTTCAAGGGATATAATGAGATGGGAGGTACAAACCCTCTAAAAGACAAGTACAGAAGTCCAATAAAATCTCTTATCTTCAATATGATTGAATATAAGAAAGTGATTGGAAATCTCTATGATCAAAAGTTGATCAAATGACACTATTCTTCATCCACTTTATATAAGAGTTAAATAGTTGATTAAACTCTATTATAAATAATGATTGAATATACCTAGCAAAATCATGAAAAGTGCTTAAAGTAGTTAAGCAAATCATCATTTTGAACCTAAGAGAAGTGTTCTAAGTGGATCAAATGGGAAAGGTTTAGGAATATATGAGGATTGCATTAAGAAGTTATAGGCCAAGAAATGCAAACAAGTTGCTACTTCTCAAACCTAGAACTGCTTACATGCTAAAAGTTGTTATGAACGGCAAATGTATCAAATTAAA